GGTGACGGGAACCTATGCATCTACGACGCCGATCCCTTCGTTCATTTGAAAACTGTTTCGGTTCATCGAAAGGGGATTAATGATTTGGCTGTTCATTCGTCGGGGAGAGTGGCGTTGACGGTGGGCAGAGATTCTTGTTTGGGGATGGTGAATTTGGTTCGGGGGAGGAGGAGTTTTAGTTGCAGGTTGGTTAAGGAGGCGGAGATTGTTAGGTATAGTGATGATGGGGAGAAGTTTTTTATGGTGAGCGAGGAGAAAATTGGGGTTCATGAGGCCGAGGATGCGAAGGTGGTTTGCGAGATAGAGGGTGGTAAGAGGGTTCTTTGCGTTGCCGTTGGCAAGGTAAAAGACTTCATTTTTTGCAGCTAACTATAGGATCTAGTGATGGAAGTGTGAAAGATGTATATAATTTTTGCTGATTCATTGGGTCATGCTTATTGTGTAATTAATTAATGGAGGAATTGTTGCATTTGTTAGACTAGTACTTTCTTTAAGCATAGTGTTTACTGTTTAGCATTATTACCGTTAGCTGCAAACTGCATAGAGATTTATATATCGATATAGCACCAGCATGTTGTGCGCAACATTGCCTAATTCATACCCTCACTATCAAATTAGCAATGAAACTGTTACTGGTTTTGTAGCTCAGTCCTCATGCTACTAAGATCTCTTAACATGGTTTTACTTTGAGACCTTAATACTATTTTAGGATGAATATCCTAGGCATCCAGAAGGTGTTATAATTGAGCTGTAATTGTTTGATGGTCATCATGCTTGTGTTATTATTAGTTAGTTGAGTTATAAAAGAAAAGTTTAAGCAATAGGTGTTGCACTGAGCACATTGGAAACCATCACTCAGATTGTGGCCTAATTTAAGCATATTGTGTCACATTCTTGTCTTATCTGGAAATGTATATTAATGGCATAGACATTTACATACTTGTACACAACGTTGTTAACCTAAACTGCCAATATAAACTAAGCAATAAAACTATTACTCCTTCTTGCAACTGAGTCCTGCTACTAGTGTTATTTTAACTTTAAAGTCATACAACTTTCATACCTTAGTTAATGCTATTTTGAATGAATTAGGATTGCACTGTGTTTTTTGTTAGGGTTTTTCCTAGAAACCACCTTAAAATAGGGTTAATATACAAAAATCACCTGGCATTTTCAATTTATATGTGAATCGCCTTTAAGTGGGTTTTTGTTTCAATCAACCACCTAGTCAAATTTTCACTAAAAAACAAATAATAATCTTAAAAATGCATGTTTAATGTGCGTGACTTGCATCCTGACTAGACCTAAACATTGACGAAGTGAGTCACGTGTCTTGAATGTTAGATTTCTAATAGTATTTTTGGGTTTTCATTGAAAAGTTTAACTTGTGTTGGTTGATTGGAACAAAATGCCACGTTAAAGGTGGTTTGCATGTAAATTGAAAATGAAATGTGGTTTCCATATAATAACCCTATTTTAAAGGTGGTTTCTAGGAAAAATCCCTTCCTGTTAAATTGTTAATATGTTAGTTTCATGCTTCTCTTGTTCCTGTTCCTATTGATGGCTCTTCTTCTCCTTTTCACATAATGGTGGAATATCTCTCCCTATGTCTTTCTGGTTGTTTGTGGACGTGTGTGGATGCATGATTTTCTTTTTCTTTCTCCCCCCTTTTTTGTGTGTTTGTGTATTTGTGTTATTTATCTGAGATATGCTATATGCTTATGATGCTAGCATCTTTTAAACAATGCATTAGTTTACTTATATCTAATTTTAATTTGAATGCAACAGAGTGGGCTTTTGTTTACTGGTGGAGAGGACCGGAGTATCACTTGCTGGGATTCATCAACCGGTAAAGCTGCATATTCTGTAGAAGATGCCCATTCGACTCGTGTAAAAGGGCTTGTTGTATTTGAGAATAAACATGATGGTCAAACTTCTGAGACACCCAACATCTTAGCTTCTGCATCGTCTGATGGTGTTATACGAATTTGGGATATAAGAATGATTGCAAAGGAGAAACCCAGTCCGTTGTCAGAGGCTAACACAAAATCCAGGCTGACTTGTCTTGCTGGTTCTTCCATGAAACGTGAGTGCTTTGCCTTTACATTTCTTCGTGAAAAAATTGAATCGAAGTTGCAAATACAGTGTCTGATAATTGCTCCATGTTAGACAACTAAAACGTCCATAGCATTAAGTGTTCCTTGTTTGATGCCAATATTAGAAGTTAGCTTTGCCTATGCAAAGCTTAAGTGGTATCTTCTGCTAGATGTGACTCTCAGTACGACATCAGTATGAAGGTTCAGTGCTCAAAGGTCTACACAACTTTGCACTCTAGAATCAATTATATAACTGTCATAGACCCAACAGCAGTAAGATTTATTTACTTTGCTGCTGAATCTATGTTTGGGTCCAAACTTATGAAGCATTGTTGCAAATGCATTGGTGTGGAATTGACGGTCAACGAGTTAAACCCTGAAATATAGGACTTGGAATAACTAGGATTACAAATAAAAAATAGTGCCCATTGTTTCATTGAAATATAGATGATAGTAGAACTTCTATATTTGACAATTAATTTAATTTTCGTATTAGCATACGATTCAATGTCTGATGCATTTGTACTTTTCATATCTGAAACTCATCTTTTATGGACTTGCTTAATGTAATGTTCATTACATTGAAAGTCTTCTATATGTTTTCCGTTAACATCCAGTTTTTGTTGTGAAAATGGAATCCGCACCTTTATGTTGGACTTCTTGAGGTTGAGTTTTTTGCACATTTTCTACCTATTTCCTTTTTAAATAATTCATATATTAGGAGTTAATCTTGAAGCTTTATGGATGTATTTGACGAGTGGCTCAACTTTTCTAAATAGACTATATTTGGTTGAATTGTTGATTATATATACTACTTTTTCACTACAAATGCGTATATTTTATCTACTTTTCTTGGTGGTACCTAAGTACCCTAAGTTCTTTTTTTGCTTTTTGACCATCAAAGAACCTTGAAACTTTGCAACCTTCTTCATTGCATTGCTAGAGATCCCTTATAATATCCCATGTACATAGCACAAGACTTTTCTTTTGGGATAATTGGATAAAGTTCCCTTCTATAACATATAGTCACATTTTTCTTCTTCTACCTCCAAGTTCTGTTTCCTCGCTTACAAAATCCTGATCCTGATCCTGATCCTGAAAAGAATTTAAATCAGAACTTCAAAAGCTGCAAACTAATAGAAATCAAGTACACTATAAATGTAAAAGAATAGGCAATCCACAATATTTAACTTTACTTTTCTTCTTTTCTGCCTTGTTTTCTTTCTCTGCTTTATTCAGTTATCCAAATCAATTTATGAATGCTTGGATTCCTCCCAAAATCCATTTAATCTACAAATAAATGAATACAAAGAAAACTACAGCACATTCGAAGGTCATTAACTTAAACCCAGAAGAAGGCATTAAAACTTCTCATGTTTCTCTTCACATCCAAATGTTCTCAAACTAAATAAATTCAGATTTAATCTTTACCTCCCAGTCTTTTCTTAGAGGCGATGTTCTTTCATCCACATGTTTAAACATATTTCTACATTCTAATTTTTGGACCCTCCTATCTTCATATCCTAAGTTCTCAAACAATAAACTAATATATCTCCAAATCCCTTGTTCCCTAAGTCCTTTTTCTAGTGTAAGCTTTTCAGGGTCAGGCATTGAGCCCTTCTGTCATAAAGCAAGAACCAAGTACTGAGGGCATTGTTAACACGCTGTTTCCACTCAACCCTGTGGGCAGGAACTAAAAAAAGAAAAACTACTGTTGTGCTTAGTTGAATATTTTCTGCAACCTAGCCAATTTGAATGGAGAACATTCTCATGAAAACTTCAGCATGTTTTGAGAAGTGCCTGAGAAATGGTGTGCTTGATGTTTTTAATAGAAACAGAGCCTCGTGATTGTAATCTAAAACCAACCCATTCTGCTGTTTGAATGAAGGTAGGTGAGTGGTTACCCTAAAAACACCATCTTGGTTCCATAAAAAAAAACATCTTGGTTGCAATTTCAGCAGATTGAGTTATATTTCACCTGTTTACAATCTCATTTGTGATATTTTATATAGTCTGTATACCCATCACCATCATATTTGAATACTTTTCAGGTAGTTCTTTGCCTTGTATCATGCCAGAAGAATATATCCCCTAAGTAAACATTTTCATCTTTTCCTATTGTTGAGTCTATCAGTCTTATGAATTTCAGGGGTTTGCTCTGCGGCTGCATAAACTTAACAATATAACTAATGAGGGAGTGTGGCAGAATTCCTTCTTAAAAACCTGATTGGTTTTATGACAAGTCCCTCCAATGTACATTGTTTCCCGTACCAGTTGGTTGCACTGTTCTGTTAGATTCAAGTGTAGCCTTCTTAAACATATGTTCCAATTATCAACCCAGTTCATGGGGAAAATGACTAGGTAAAGAGATTATGCTAATGATCAAAGATGATGCTTCCATGACCTTGTAGATGTCAGCATTTTATGAGATGGTTGAATGATGTAGTCAGTCAGTCCTAACCCCAGTTTATGCGTAGGAATTTTAACTTTTGTCATTAGCACAGGCTAACTCGGACTGAATGTGATTTAGCTTAGCCTTGTGTGATTCAGCTTAACCTTGACTCTAAAGAAGAAACACAGTCAAACTAATGTACATTATTGGTGCATGTAACAGTAACAAATTTTAAAAAAACATAGAACTGGTTAAGAGGTTGAAGTCTATGTTGTATGGATGCGGACACGGACACGGACATGGGTGGTGATACAAGACACGGGTAAATTGTAAAACATAGGATACGGTGACATGGCTATATACATACATATTAAAACTAATAATCTACCTGAGATCAATATTGTTTTTCATTCACATGTTATGAGAACTAAAATTCTAATACCATTTTTATGTTTCTTTTATTGAGTAGACTATAAATTTAAAAACCGCTTGTTTTTTAACTAGATACAATATCAACTCTTTAAAATCAATACTTATGAGTTAGGAGTGCTAAAATGAACCTATCCCGAGTCCAACAAGTTGCATAAATTTGAGGTGAAGTGTAAAATATATGTTCAGAAAGTGTATCACGAGGTTTTAAAACTAAAACATGTGATGATATATAATTTTAAAATATATGTCCAGAAGTGTCCAAGGAACGCCCACCATGGACACGGATACAGGTAGGTGTTAGGCACGGATATGGGAGCCTAGATAAAGTGTCCAACTAACCCAGATTGAAGTGCATGATTGTGAATCTCGTTTGGAGACCTTAGGTGGTTGTATACTTGTATTACTATACTATTTTCCTTCTTAGATATCAATTTTAAGTCTGAAACTTCAGTAATTAAATACACACACACACAAAAACTTCAGTTTTCCTTGTTTTGACAATCCTAGAGGTGTCAACTGTTGGATATTACACTTCTGTTCTCTTGGCATCCAATGTCTTATTGTTTATCAAGCTGAATAGCTAAATATGGCCAATTCAAGATATTCGGGACCTTGGCTTTGATTTTTGGTTGCTACGTTTTATTGTGACAATGTTACCTGAAGATTCGATAAAGAAGTTTTATCGTTCTTATTGCTGTTGCTGGATACCTTCACTTATATTTCAGGTTTGCATGTAGTTTACCGTCAACGATAAATTGTAATGCATTGGGTTTTGAAGTGTATCGTGTTCTGTGTACATTGGGGAACTCCTGAAAATATCCATTTACATACCATAAGTTATCTTTGTTTTTATTTATTTATTTATTTATTGTTAGTATTGTTGCTGTTGTTGCCTTAGTTACTCTATTATCTTTGACCACTCTTTTCAATCTTTTTATGGTCGTCTCTTATCTTATTTCAGGGGTGGTTTTGGACACTTGAGTTCTGTTTGACCAAGACTTTTTGCACTGTTTAACTTATTTTGGTAGCATTTTTATTCTAGCTGAGTGACAATTATAGCAGTTCTATTTCATTCCATTTGCATTCTGTATTTAACTATTGTAAGTTAATAGACCCACAAACCTTGATGTAATATTTCTGAAGCAATCAAAGTATATGAATTTTGTTGTCCTGGATTAATACAGATTCCATTCTGAGAATACTTTATACTGCCTGTGCTGTGCTGATCTCTTTTTCATAGGCTTTCTTGTATGTCCAGTTATGTAACTTACTCTTTGCCATTTATTTGAAGTGCGTAATTATTGTGTCATGAATCCAAATATCTGCTGGTTTTCTTAGCTCTATTAGATGCCCGGCCATGTCAACAAGGAACTAATTGCACATATACCCCCTCGTACTATTGCTGTTTTGAGCTTACTACCTGTAGTTTCATCGTTGCTGATAGACCCCTTGAGTTAAGGGCCCGTTTGGATCGGGTATTTTAAAGGGGAAAGTAGGAGGAAAGCAGCCAAATCTTTTTGGTAGCTTTCCCTCAAAATCGGCTCTTATAGAGGCGATTTTGGGGGAAAGTTGCCAAAAAGCTGACAAATTGACAGCTTCCCCCCTCATTTCCCCTTCAAAATACCCGATCCAAACAGCCCATAAATCATTTTCGCTTTTTAACACTCGGTGTAATTTTGACAGATAGTCCCTAGCCTAGGTGATAGTAGCCAGTTTTTAAGGGTAAAATAGTCACTGAGGTCTTTCTGCAACAGTAAAACTATACCGGCAACAAGGTCAAAACGGACATACTATAGTAGGTCTATGTGCATCGAGTGAGTAACCCTTTTGACGACTTTTCAGTTAACAAATTTGAAGAGTTCTTGTCTTATGATTATTATTTTTGTAACCATTATTGTACTCTGTATTGATTATTCCCATTTTGGTATCGAACCCATTCAAATCCTAGGTCTGTTCCTCTTCTAATTTGAGTACTAATAATGGGAAATTTGATGTCATGGTCAAAATCTTATACGGTCAAGAGTTTTCTGAAGGACTCTGATGCGGTAGTTATTCGTTGATACATCATTTTCTACAGGAGCAGGTAAGTCGGTAAAAAAAAAAAAAAATTTACGAGTCAGGGCGATGAGTATTCAGTACTCAGCAAATGATAGGACGAAATCTTTGGGCTTCAGGGCCCTTTTTAAGAATGTCACATGGGAAAAGCTTGTGCAGTCTTTATTCAGTCAAGCTGAGAGGCCCAAAGTTTACGGCCTTCTCCAGCTGCAGTTTTGATCCTAGCGGTTGGAGGGTGGATGCTGCATGGGAATTATTTTGGCGAAGGTTGGATCGCATCGGGAAAATTTTTCCTTTGTGCGACTTTTGATATTTTAATTAAGTTAAAACAACATCCCGTGTTAAATAAATAATTCTTTGCAGTTTTTTGATCTCTCGGAGAAGTGAGGGAATTTTTTGAGCGGTTTGGAAATTATTAGATATCGACTAACCTATTTTAAAACCCAACCTCAAACCAACCGTTTGAAACGAGAGAAAAAAAAGCTTGCTTTACCCCTCCCGCGCAAAAAACTGGTGATGCCAAAAAAATTTAAAACTTGGAAACCAAATCTATTGTCGTTTTCTTTCAGTTCCCGTATTTTTTTAAAAAATTTTGAAAAAATAAATTACAGGGGAAAAAAAAACGGTAAACGACAATGTGGCTATTTATATATATATATATTAATAATATATATATAATATTATATAAATATATAATAATTATATATATATTATATATTATAATTTATATATATTTTAAATGTTTGCAAGGCAATGTAAGGGGGAAGACCCTGTAAAGTTTTTTGCAAAAGTCCATTCATGTTACGTTGGGGGAATTCGTTTTCAATAAATATTGTTTCATTAATGCTATAAAAAAGGATAATTCAATATTTTCTTTTAGGTGTTGCGATTTTAAAATTTGTCTTGCACCGAAAATTCAAAAAACTGAGGGGTCTCTTTTAGGGGGAAACGTTCAATGGGGACAAACAAGAATAAATCAAAATTTAAAAGTTCTTGAAAACGGCGATCACTACGATAAACTAATTCCACACTCTAATTAAAATTTTCATTTATAATTAAGGTTAACTTTGGGAATATTCGATTTTTTACGCCCGGCAGTTTACCATTATTGCCATTGTTTTTTCTGATTTTAAATAAAAAACCGGGATGAACGCGTTGTTATATGTACACATGAAGAAATACCATCGATCGGTAAGAGGCAAAAACCCCTATAGCTAGCCATCTAAACCTTGCGTCGTTTTAAGGCTTTAAATTAATAAAACATTAAACGGCTCAAACTATCCCTAATCAATTTTCAGGGGGCTCTTCCCCCATCTCTTAAGATGCCAGAGCGGCACCCCGCTTGCTTGAGCTAACGGCCACGAGCGGGACCGGTATTGATGTTGGGACCAAAAAGCCATCACCCTTTCTCGTACTCCCCCCAGTCAGCCTCCCCCTCCCGCACGAACACCGGCTCGGGGCCCACTCCGGGAGGCGCCGGAGGCTATGTCCCCCTCCCGAACGGACAGGGGCTGGCGGAGCGCCGCCCTGGAATCTCGGGGCCCGCAGCCCTTCCCGGTTTCCAAACCCCTCGTTTAGGACGGGTTTGGGCGGGCCCACGGCCGAAGGGGGCCTAGCAACGGGGCAATGGAAGTGTCGGGGCGCCTTGGACCATCGTGGCAACCATGCAGCAAGCCCGGCTGGGGCGCTGAAAACACCCACCCACGGCGTATTCCCCCGGGCCATGGCCGAGCACCCTCTCAGTACGGGGCTCCCCCACCCTGTACGCTGGCCGCGTCGCGGGCGTTCAAGCCCCCCGCCCGCAAAGGGCGAACCGAGTCCCCTCCTTTCTTTCCTTCCTCGTAGAACCTCAATGTGATTTTTGCTTTCTCCATATCTCAGGAAATGGGCTTTTTGCTTTTCCCGGCTTTTGTTTAATGGGTTTCGTATAAAAAAAATAGGAGGGCGGATTCTAGAGGAGAGAGGAAGAGAGATAGAGAGAGGGAAGGCAATTGCGTTCCTCTCTCCCTGTGTTCTGCAGTTAGAGGAGAAAGGGAAAAGAGTTAGGGAAACGCGGATATAGGGCATTGCAAAAAAGTTTTATATATTCTTTACTTAAAATTAATTAAAAATGCGACTGAGGGGGTGTGCGGGGGGGTTGGGATTTTTTATTAATTTTTGGTTGGCGTTACGGCCTTTGGCACAAAAATGATCGCTTCTTCCTGCTCAACGCCGACAATCTTAACCGTAGATTGCCGGCGTAAATCCTTATCGTTAATTGTGGCTAATTAGTCTAAGCGGACTAATTAACTATCATACTCCTTGCTATATCCATCTAGGTATAGTTCAATTGATCATTAACCTGTAAAAAATAGAAGACATATTTCTTTTTGAACGAGAGTGTAGATGGTACTTAGTAAGGACTTCCGAAAATAGCCTTCTTAATTCTCTTAACTATGAACAGAGTAGTTTAATTTTTCACTAATATTTTTCACCGAATTACTATATTTATTATAGTGATTTTCATCCTCTTAATAATCTTTATCCTCTATCTTATACCTTGTAGACATAGAGAACCATTTCTCTGCCTAGAATTTTCCACATAAATGATTCAATTTTTTTAAAAATAATATATGTATAGTATAGAATTTCCACAAGACATTATAACGAAATTTAATTCCTATTGCTGTTTAAAACCTCGTTACTATTTTCGATCCCGGTAACTGCTATTTAAATTTCCCCGACCTATATAAGCTCGACGTTTCGTTTCACTCCTCAATAAATCCCGACCGTTGAAACCTCCATCCAGCGGCCAGATGATAGGGCCCATACAATCAACGTGATGTCCCCCTAATTACCGAAATGCCATCCGTTTCGGTTTTCATTTCTCATGCACGCAAACAGCGGTCTCGTACGGAACGGTCGGGGGCTGACGTTGCGGCGCCGAGCGTAATTGCGTTCCCGATGCCGTTACTTTTGACTGACGGCGTTAAGATCTCCGTCCCGGAGGACAGGTAGTGGGTCAAACGGCGGCGGACAGGACGTTACGTTGTCGGGCTGTCGGTTGAGGAGGCTACGGTGACGGACGTTTCGTATTTCTAGACCCTGTTGTCGTCCGTTAAAGTCCGTACGGTACCCGTTTCCATGTTCGCATTCCCTTCGGAAACAAGGGACGGAGCCTACTCTTGTGGGTAACTTCACTAATAAATCCCTAGTAAATTTCTGCGTTTTGCGCTTTAACACCTTAAAATTTTGGAACTCTCACTAGACCCCAATAACTTCGAAATTTTCAGAAACTATCAAATTAGATGTCTTGATTTTGATTTTTTATTTTATTTTACTTTATTTTGCTTAACCTCCAATTACGACTTTATGATATTCATGTGATATACATTATCTGTTTGGGAACTCGTAATATGAGATGGCACTATTATGGGGGTTAATTGGCGAACACCCAAACTCAGAGTTTTTTTTTATATTTCCAATGTTGTTGGAGTTTAGCAAGAGTTTCGAACTTTTTGGTGAAAAGTGCCAAACGGCCATATTATTTTGGTGTTAGTGAAATTTATCCGATTGCTTACTTTGGCTCATCCCTCCAAGTAAAGTTTGTCTCTTTTACCTTGAGACTCACTAATTTCATCTAAAGTCGATATCTTCCAAAATTTTGACCAGAGTAAAAGATTCAAAAAATATTTTAAGCCGGGAGTCTATAGGCTAAAATGAAACTTCAGGGATAATATTAATAATGATGCTACAATGGGTCTGTGTGTAATTAATCCCTTTTCAAAATGTTTCATTAATTGTTAATTATATCGCTCTTGCTCTCGTAATTAGAAACTATATGACAGATAATTATGAAAGAAATGCAAACTCTTCTCTAAAAGATAATTTGATTAATCCTTTGTTAAAGATTTTCATCTCTTCACTACCCTTGCGTAAATTCTCGATTTTATGTCCACTTCACTATGATGTTTAATTATCATGTACATACAACATTCCTTTTATACAGCGCTCCTAGTTTTAAGGATGAAATATTAAGTAGTTCCGAACTGTTTAATTAATTGACAGCAAGCCAAATGAATATAATATATCCTTAGCTTATTATACTAGTCTTATAACTTTTTTTTTATTTAGTCTTATATTCT